GGAAGAAGACATGATCAAGTGAGGTCATGGTGGTGTAACTTGAGTAACACTTGGTTTATGCGTACATTCCTTTGTCAGCTTCAGAATCTTTTCAGCAAGGTGGTAAGGGCGCGGCTGTAGGGGTGGAGGAGGCCGCTTTAATAATGTAGTTTGGTCACTAGAAACAGAGTTTGTGGACTTATTTTTATCAGAGTTCACATGGCATATATGAAGACACTAGTAAAGTGTTCATGGTAAAATTTTGACAGTACTTGTTGAATTTCCACAAGTTATCATTAAAGTACCATGGGAAAATACTTTATTATAGCTAGACTGGTACCTCTCTGCTCTGCTCATTTCTTCATCAAGCTATGATCTGTATTTTCTCATATTCATACTTTTATGATTTTCTCAGTCATGTCAGGGAGTAATTTGTTAATTTTGAATCAAGAGCACTGTACAAGTGCTTCTGTATGTCAGGAAGTTGAACTGTTTTCAATACTTGAACTTGAAAGCAGCATGCATCCATACGATACCTGCCCATGTCCGAAATGCAATAAAGTGGTATCTTTGTTCAGTGGTTCTAAAGGACAAAATGGAATTTTAAGATTGTTCCTAGTACTTTTTTCGCTAAAATTTTGAACTTGATTAACTACTAGTTCCATCGTGAAGTGTATTTGGTTTGCTTTCCCATTGTGTTTTTGCAACAGCTGTAAGGTAGGTAAACCTTGCAGCTGGCAGGTGTTTTTCTGTAGGTCTTCATGCCCTGATATATCCCGTGTCTGTGGATCAAGACAACATGGTGAATCCGAGGAGTCTGGCAACTTCATATCCGCAAGGAGGAATCGTGTGGGAGTGATTGTTTTTCAATCTTGAGCTAGCAGGATTGTTACATGACAGTTGTTTCTGGGTTGAGAGAAATGGAGACAGTGGATCATAGTACGGAAGTGACCTCAGATGACAATTACCTGCATATGACTGATACTGGATAACAACTTCCGGTGGAACAAATGAGATTAAATATGTTCATTAACACTTTTCTTGGTTGTAAAACTTTATTGTTTCAGAATCGAAGACAATCATTTTGGAAGAGAAACATGTTCGATGTTAGTGTCAATCAATAGACAAGCATTAGAAACAAGCAAGGTAGTAAGTCCTTTTTCCTTCCATTGACTTTTTTAAGAAAACATTTTAAAAGCTACCACTTTTGACGATAAATTTAGTTATGATTTCTTTGTGCTTTTTAACCTTTTTGTTTAAGGTCCATTTTCAAAAAAATGTGTAACAACTATTCACTTCAAACTTGGTATATATGTTCGTTATCATAAAGGGACACCTTTTTAAAAAGGCAGTTAATGCTAAAAGCATATATCGCAAAGTTATGCACCTTTATTTAACTTTGATTTTAGCCCTGGTAATTTTTTTGTTAACAACCATAAGATATTCATTTGTGCTTGTTTACATCCAAATTTGAAATGCATTTCTAATGAGCAGATAATTATTGAAAACCATTTTTGCTTGATTCCCTTTTTGACTGAGAATATTTTACTTTTCTAAAACATTGTAAGACAGTCACTTTTGTTGAATCCTAGTTAAGAGCAGTTCTATGATTCTAGTAGACCATTTGTTTCTACTGTGAAAAATGTGTGTATTTAATTAGGTTAATTGTATAACTGTGATATATGGGTGGATGTAGTAGATCAATTGCTCAGGTTTCTAAAGTTTGTGGTTCTATTGGGATATCTGCAGGTTATCTAAGGGTCAGATGTTCAACTGGTGATGTGACTTGATCAGGACAAGAAGTGGAGAGGTGAAATATGATGTGTGGTCCTATGTGGTTTGTTGGAAAAGATGTAATCAGGTGGTTTCTGGTTGTGTAAGTAGAAATATCTAAGTCAAGGTGAGTTGAAATATTATATGTTGTTCTATGTTTTGTCATGGAAAAGACATGATCAGGTGATCAATGTTATATATAGACGATACGGTGGAAGAAGACATGATCAGGCACTCAATGTTATATATAGATGATACGGTGGAAGAAGACATAATCAGGTGATTAATATTATATAGACGATACGGTGGAACAAGACATGATCAGGCAATCAATGTTATATATAGATGATACGGTGGAAGAAGACATAATCAGGCGATCAATGTTATGAATAGAGCAATACGGTGGAAGAAGACATGATCAATTTAGGTCATGGTGGTGTAACTTGAGTAACACTTGGTTTATGCGTACATTCCTTTGTCAGCTTCAGAATCTTGTCAGCAAGGTGGTTAGGGCGCGGCTGTAGGGGTGGAGGAGGCCGCTTTAATAATGTAGTTTTGGTCACTGGAAACAGAGTTTGTGGACTTATTAAAGACACTAGTAAAGTGTTCATGGTAAAATTTTGACAGTACTTGTTGAATTTCCACAAGTTATCATTAAAGTACCATGGGAAAATACTTTATTATAGCTAGACTGGTACCTCTCTGCTCTGCTCATTTCTTCATCAAGCTATGATCTGTATTTTCTCATATTCATACTTTTATGATTTTCTCGGTCATGTCAGGGAGTACTTGTTAATTTTGAATCAAGAGCACTTTACAAGTGCTTCTGTATGTCAGGAAGTTGAACTGTTTTCAATACTTGAACTTGAAAGCAGCATGCATCCATATGATACCTGCCCATGTCCGAAATGCAATAAAGTGGTATCTTTGTTCAGTGGTTCTAAAGGACAAAATGGAATTTTAAGATTGTTCCTAGTACTTTTTTCGCTAAAATTTTGAACTTGATTAACTACTAGTTCCATCCTGAAGTGTATTTGGTTTGCTTTCCCATTGTGTTTTTGCAACAGCTGTAAGGTAGGTAAACCTTGCAGCTGGCAGGTGTTTTTCTGTAGGTCTTCATGCCCTGATATATCCCTGGTCTGTGGATCAAGACAACATGGTGAATCCAAGGAGTCTGGCAACTTCATATCCGCAAGGAGGAATCGTGTGGGAGTGATTGTTTTTCAATCTTGAGCTAGCAGGATTGTTACATGACAGTTGTTTCTGGGTTGAGAGAAATGGAGACAGTGGATCATAGTACGGAAGTGACCTCAGATGACAATTACCTGCATATGACTGATACTGGATAACAACTTCCGATGGAACAAATGAGATTAAATATGTTCATTAACACTTTTCTTGGTTGTAACACTTTATTGTTTCAGAATCGAAGACAATCATTTTGGAAGAGAAACATGTATGATGTTAGTGTCAACCAATAGACAAGCATTAGAAACAAGCAAGGTAGTAAGTCCTTTTTCCTTCCATTGACTTTTATAAGAAAACATTTTAAAAGCTACCACTTTTGAAGAATAATTTAGTTATGATTTCTTTGTGCTTTTTAACCTTTTGTTTACGGTCCATTTTCAAAAAAATGTGTAACAACTATTCACTTCAAACTTGGTATATATGTTCGTTATCATAAAGGGACACCTTTTTAAAAAGGCAGTTAATCCTAAAAGCATATATCGCGAAGTTATGCACCTTTATTTAACTTTGATTTTAGCCCTGGTATTTTTTTTTTGTTAACAACCATAAGATATTCATTTGTGCTTGTTTACATCCAAATTTGAAATGCATTTCTAATTAGCAGATAATTATTGAAAACCATTTTTGCTTGATTCCCTTTTTGACTGAGAATATTTTACTTTTCTAAAACATTGTAAGACTGTCACTTTTGTTGAATCCTAGTTAAGAGCAATTCTATGATTCTAGTAGACCAGTTATTTCTACTTTGAAAAATGTGTGTATTTAATTAGGTTAATTGTATAACTGTGATATATGGGTGGATGTAGTAGATCAATTGCTCAGGTTTCTAAAGTTTGTGGTTCTATTGGGATATCTGCAGGTTATCTAAGGGTCAGATGTTCAACTGGTGATGTGACTTGATCAGGACAAGAAGTGGAGAGGTGAAATATGATGTGTGGTCCTATGTGGTTTGTTGGAAAAGATGTAATCAGGTGGTTTCTGGTTGTGTAAGTAGAAATATCTAAGTCAAGGTGAGTTGAAATATTATATGTTGTTCTATGTTTTGTCATGGAAAAGACATGATCAGGTGATCAATGTTATATATAGACGATACGGTGGAAGAAGACATGATCAGGCAATCAATGTTATATATAGACGATACGGTGGAAGAAGACATGATCAGGCAATCAATGTTATATAGATGATACCGTGGAAGAAGACATAATCAGGCACTCAATGTTATATATAGATGATACGGTGGAAGAAAACATAATCAGGCAATCAATATTATATAGACGATACGGTGGAAGAAGTACTATAATCAGGTGATTAATGTTATGAATAGAGCAATACGGTGGAAGAAGACATGATCAATTTAGGTCATGGTGGTGTAACTTGAGTAACACTTGGTTTATGCGTACATTCCTTTGTCAGCTTCAGAATCTTTTCAGCAAGGTGGTTAGGGCGTGGCTGTAGGGGTGGAGGAGGCCGCTTTAATAATGTAGTTTGGTCACTAGAAAGAGAGTTTGAGGACTTATTTTTGTCAGAGTTCACATGGCATATATGAAGACACTAGTAAAGTGTTCATGGTAAAATTTTGACAGTACTTGTTGAATTTCCACAAGTTATCATTAAAGTACCATGGGAAAATACTTTATTATAGCTAGACTGGTACCTCTCTGCTCTGCTCATTTCTTCATCAAGCTATGATCTGTATTTTCTCATATTCATACTTTTATGATTTTCTCGGTCATGTCAGGGAGTACTTGTTAATTTTGAATCAAGAGCACTGTACAAGTGCTTCTGTATGTCAGGAAGTTGAACTGTTTTCAATACTTGAACTTGAAAGCAGCATGCATCCATACGATACCTGCCCATGTCCGAAATGCAATAAAGTGGTATCTTTGTTCAGTGGTTCTAAAGGACAAAATGGAATTTTAAGATTGTTCCTAGTACTTTTTTTGCTAAAATTTTGAACTTGATTAACTACTAGTTCCATTGTGAAGTGTATTTGGTTTGCTTTCCCATTGTGTTTTTGCAACAGCTGTAAGGTAGGTAAACCTTGCAGCTGGCAGGTGTTATTCTGTAGGTCTTCATGCCCTGATATATCCCTGGTCTGTGGATCAAGACAACATGGTGAATCCGAGGAGTCTGGCAACTTCATATCCGCAAGGAGGAATCGTGTGGGAGTGATTGTTTTTCAATCTTGAGCTAGCAGGATTGTTACCTGACAGTTGTTTCTGGGTTGAGAGAAATGGAGGCAGTGGATCATAGTACGGAAGTGACCTCAGATGACAATTACCTGCATATGACTGATACTGGATAACAACTTCCGATGGAACAAATGAGATTAAATATGTTCATTAACACTTTTCTTGGTTGTAAAACTTTATAGTTTTAGAATCGAAGACAATCATTTTGGAAGAGAAACATGTATGATGTTAGTGTCAACCAAAGAAACAACCATTAGAAGCAAACAAAGTAGTAAGTCCTTTTTATTTCCATTTGTTTTTTTTTTATTTAAACAAAACAATTTATGGGGCGTCTTTGACCACTTGCCCCTCACCACTGTGGGTTCTAATCCCGACAGGGACTTTGGATTCTTTCATGTGAGGAAGCTATTCAGCTAGCTTACAGAAGTAGCTGGTTCTACTCAGGTGCCCGTTTGTGCCTGAAATAATGCACGGAAGGGCACCTGAGGTCTTCCTCCACCAGTAAAGCTGGAATGTCGCGATATGACCTATACTGTGTCGATGTGACGTAAAACCCAAAATAAACAAAAAACACTTAATAGCTCCCCTTCTTGAAGAAAAAAGTATTAATTTTCTTGTTTGTGCTTGTTATCATTTTTGTTAAGGTGCATTTTCTGAAAATACGTAAAAACTATTCACTTCAAACTGGGTATATGTCAGTGGTGTAGCTTCCTATAGTCACTGTGGGCATGTGCCTACACTTTTTCTGATATGAAAAATATAATGAATACTAAAATGCAATAGAAATTTAAGGGTAAGGGCAATAGAGGTGTAGGCCCGAATGCATGTATGTTGAAAATGATTGATCATCTTATTTGAAAATAAGTCCGTAATTGAGTCTGTTTCATAAAAACTGCCGCGGTAAAGAAAACAGGGGCCGGTGACCTTGTTGACCATGTAAAAGTTTTTGAGAGCTTGATTATTGCAAGGATGTTTGACCAGGATCCACCATAATTCTGATATCGGTAGGACTAGCTTCAATACAAATGATGAGGAAACAAAGCAATGCCATTTTAACGAAACCTTGACATAATGTCTGTCATATTCTTTTCCCTATAGACCCTTTCATTTAAGACCGTATTCAAGTTGTCGACTTGGATGACGTCATTGGGGGATACGGTGGACAATGCCAATAAGATTAAGTACAATAATAGAGGAATATAAAGATCTTTATCCTTTCTCTTGTAAGATTGGCAGATTGAAATTGCCAAAATTTTGTGTAATTGAATAAGGTATTACATAAAAAGGATGGTGAAATGAATAAATATGTTTACTATAATAAGGTTAGCGATTTGTTTAAATAGTAGACCATATTCCTGGGTAACTGATCATGATTACCATTTTTGTTAGATTCTTAACCCATTACCAGATATATACGCCTTTTTCACCCCCCCCCCTTTTTGCTTTCTCAAATGTTGAAAAAATGCCTTATTTAGGCCCCCAAACACTTGTTTTGTTTGAGAAATGTTGTTTAAAAAATTTACCACTTTTTTGGCGCGGTCCCCTGTCCAAAAGATACATCAGGGGGTTGCCAGAAGGGGGATGTGCCCCCTTCTGTTTGGGGGGGTTTGAAGGGGGAGGAGTCCCCCTCATCGCCAAGAAAATTTTGGACTTGTGGGAGGCTAAAAATGGTCCCAGGTCGATCATAAGGTAACGTGTAACCAATGCTGAAAAGCCTTTGACTCTATCTCAATCCATTGAGAAGTGGCAGCGCTTTGCAATCAATATTGATGGAAAAAATCAACACAAAATAGTGATTTTTGGCAATTTTGAGATGTCCCCTAGTTGCCATGGTAACAGGAAATTTCAGACTGAGCATGTTGTTACAAAGGCAATGGTCCAGTCAACATTTGTGCCAAGTTTGATTAGTATTGAAGCAGTTTTTATAGTTTTATAGCAACTTGAACTTGTAACGGGAGACTTTTCAATAAAAACAGCCATTTTTCACAAAATGCTCAAGGGGTAATGGGTTAATAATGAAAATTTTACCAGACAGTTAAATCTTACTAACTTGCTTATACCAGAGATATAGATAATGTATCTATGTCTCTGCTAATATACAATACCCAAAAGATTTTTTGAGTTTCAAAAATGTAAGGATTCTGTAGTTTCGAAAAACGGCTGCGTAATAATTAATTGCAAGATAAATCATTTGGATTTAAGCATTACTAAGACAAAGAAAAGAAAACAATATAAATCTATGTAATTTCAAAAAAAAAATGTAAAGGCATAATAGTAAAAATTCTTTTGAATGTACATGACTGTATATACTATTTGTGTCGGCAAAAAATGCACTATATATTTAAGCTGGTAAAGTAATATTTTCAACTTGATACTTTTTAATTCATACTCTGCTTATCAAATATTTTAAAAACAAACAAAAAAAAACAAGTTGTGAAACACGTTCACAGAAATTCGTTATTAACTGAATTATAATTTTAAGTATTTTTGACTGTGCCAGTTGGTAGGACTCTGAATTGAGTATCAAATCAGTAAGGCATGACCAATAAAGTCCCTAGGATGATCCATAACAAAATTCGGACCATAAATATTTTGACAACTAACAAAAGTGACGTAATCTGATGTAATGTTACAACTCTAAAATATACAACATATATTTATGATATCACAGCCAAGTGCCGCTTGTATAAACAACATATGCACCCTGTTAATTAAAATGTTACGACTCAGTGGGGCTTGAATATACACATCTATTTATCTATGAAATAAGTTACTTGGAAAGGTCTTTAAAGAATAGATTTTTAAAATCAAAATTATCTTATTATCGTCTGTTGCAAATCTAAAATTATAAAAGTCAATGCCACATGGTTTTCGTTTTTTCCGGAATATTTATAAAATTATGTCCTTCACTGGTTCTTTGAAATATTTTTTATATGGCATAATGAAGAATTGACAGAATGCATTCTGTTTTTGTTCATTAAAGCTTGAAAAACAATCGTTAAAAGACATTGGCAATCTTATTTTCAGGTTTGTCACAAATACGCCGGAATTTTCTAAATGACAGAAAATAACACAGAAAACTAGAAAATGGACATTTGATTTTATAATAGGCAATTTCAGTGTGTATGGGTGTTTATAAAATATTAAAATTGATTTAGTTACTAGTTTTTTATCCTGGTATTAGAGAAAATCTAGATTTAATAAATATATTCACTTTGAAATTTCGCTGTTTCACTCCGTAGCGAGAATTAATTTCAACCTTTGTTTTTGTATTCTTTATGCCCCCACAGAGTAGGAGCATAAAGCGTTGCACTTGTCCGTCCGTCTGTCCGTCCGCACTACCAAATAGGGATAGGGGGCCATCTAACTGTAAACAGAACAAAAGAGAACAATAGAGTTCATTCCGTAACAATAGAGTAAGGGGCCATTGGCCCTCTATTAAACAATAGAAAATAACAAAAGAAATGGCCCCTTATTCCATTTCCGCCGGACGTCTGTCCGCTCCCACAGGACAGTAATTATGTGGCTAGAGGGACAATAGGTAACTGTTCTTTCTCTTTGAAGTTATTCATTCTGTAATGCTTTTATGTGGCTATTTTCTTTTGTGTGACTAAAAAGAACAATAGAGAGAACAATAGAGTAGCCACATTATTACTCTCCTGTTAGAACGTCCGTACGTCTGTCCCTCTGTCCGTCCCTCTGTCCGTACGTCCCTGAAATCTTGTGAACCCAACTCTTCTTAAACAGGATGGCAGATTTTGCTTAAACTTCCAGGGATGAACAACCTTAATGTGTAGATGGTAGTAAAGGGAGGAATTTACGCTACGACCAAATTTAACAGAATTGTGGCCCTTTGTTGATTTTTTCACTATATACTATGTAGAAATTTTGTGAACGCAACTTCTCTTAAACCGGATGGCAGATTTTGCTTAAACTTCCAGGGATGAACAACCTTAATGTGAAGATGGTTGTAAAGGAAGGAATTTTGCTGCGACCAAATTTAACAGAATTATGACCCTTTGTTGATTTTTAGTTTTCAACTTGTGGCACATGTAGTCCAAAAAATATTTGACCTAGAGTCATAAGATTGACAGAACAGTGGCGTGTTGGGGCATCCGTGTCCTATGGACACATTTCTAGTTTTTTATTGTCTTGATATTAAATTTATGTATGTATGCGTAAATTTTTACATGTTATAATTATAACTGAACGATCAGTATTTACGCATTTAACTTTTCAATAAGCTAACTTTCTATGTGGCATGCATAGTTTTATCCCCCATTTACGTCACATCTGGTAAGGGAAGTAACTCTTCCCTGACTGTTATCGCTTAAATGAAAGGGTTTATAGGTATTCTTAAATTTTATTACAAGTATTTGTATGTTATTCTCTGTCCAATTTTAAGCTTATGGGTCCTCTATTTTATGTTGAACAAAACACAAAGTAGGATATTCACTTGTACTAAATGGTCACTACCAATTTTGAAATACATTTCTAATGGGCAGATAATCATGAAAACCATTTTTGTTTGATTCTCTTTTTTGACAAAGAATATTTGCCTTTTTCTAAAAAATTGTGTAAGACATTCACTTCAAAGTTGAAGTATTTGTTGACTCATAATTAAGAGCAGTCATTTTGCTAACTTAAGTGTGTTTGCCGAATAATGGCCCATTTTATTTGTTGTCTTTTTTCAACTATCAAGCACTGAGAAAAGTTGAGCATGCTTGTTTTAGCTGTCAATTTTTTGATAAACCTTTTTTGTTAGGTACATTTTTCAAAAAGTATCAATGATACTCACTTTATGTTAAACTACAAAAAACACAACCATATACAGAGATTACTTAATATGTAAACCTTTATTATTTAAAAGACATTTGTATTGTTAAAAAAAACAAACAAAAAACTGGCAGTTCTGTTTAAATAAGGGATCAATGTAACATGATCTGTTTTAAAGAGTACATTTTCCAATACATGGTAGATGGATTTCTTTACTAGTCAAATTTGATATTTGACATGAGAGCATTTTACATATGAGCACAGTGAGAAAAGTGGAACAAGTGGAATTGACTTTACAAAATAGGTTCATTAGGAGGTTTAATTAAAGTTCATTTTAATGTTATTTACAATTTAGTGGTTTATTATTCTAATTATTTATTGGATATGTTACTTAATATTTAAAAATTAGAGAGTCAACAGCCTAACAGATGAAGAATATGTTCATATAGAGGAAACAATTACACCTGCCTTACATGATGAAAACAGATGTGCTTGAACGTTTTTTCTGAATGATTATAGATAGTAAGTTTAATTCTTTATTTATATAATTACTTACCTTTTACCAGTATTTTGCCATTTTTTTATTTATACCATATTTGATGTATTTGTTTATTAGAATTTAATGTCCCTTAAAGCAAAAAATACATATATAGTGTCTTCAAGGAAAAAATAAAAATAAAACACATGTATAATGTCTTTCTTTTTATTTGAGATTCCAAATAATCCACTTATGTAAAGTTCAAGGATGTTCTCAAATATTAACTGTCTATTATATTTGATAACTTCAGTCCGACCCCGGTTATTCTACAACCCTTTATTCGAATAAACTTTATTTTCCGAAGTAGTTTGGCTGTCCCATTTGTAACTCTATATAAATTGATATACAGTGAAAGTTGAGAAAACCGGACGGCTTTCGGACCGAGGGTTTTGTCCGGTTTTCTCAGCGGTCCGGTATTCTCAATGTCCCCTTCAGCTGTTCAGAATCATATAAACTGAGCAATGACTTACAAAGAATGCTGAACGTATATTTGCATTTTCATGATTATGAGTAAGTATATTGCTAAATAAAGAAATGATAAAAATTCTATACAATATGTTTTAATTGTTTTTGTCCCATTATTGCATATAAATACAATAAAATTTTGGATTAAACGAACAGCAGTTACCTCATAACGATAAAGTCCGATTACACCCGCATATATTTATATTTGGGTAATGGATAATGATTTAACGAACATACATGTGGTTTACTTTGTTTGTTTATAATAATTCCCCAATTGTAAATATTGCCTATACCATATTTGTCAGATAACGATTTTTAAAGTAGGTATCGGCAAAGTTTCAATGTTTTTAATTAATTTAGATTTGTCACTTATAGACAGCTCTCGTCAACTGATTTTAACTTATCAATTCCTTGTGCATTTTGGCATTTATATAAAACAGTAACATCTATATCAACTGTGAAATGAGACATAATTAACAAATCAGACAATCATTGTTCCGTTACCGCTCTATTAGCGTATTAGACACAACCAATTGATAAGTACACAAGGTTATTCACACCTTCGTCGTCCGGTATTGTCAGGGTAATTGTCTATATAATTGACTTTGTAGTCCCCTATCAACCGTCCGATATTCGGTTTTTACAGATTCCGGTATTGTCAATGTTTAATACAATAGTTTAAAGAAGGGAAAATTTGGGACTGAATTATTCGTCCGGTATTTAGAGAGTTCCGATTTTCTCAGCGTCCGGTTTTCTCAAATTTCACTGTAATTACAAACATACGTGTTTTTCAAAATGCATTATCCGAAAACGTCCCATTTTTGACGTATATTTAGGTCCCAAAATATAAAATATATTTATGAAAGGATTTCACACCTATTATTCGTAGCCAGACTAATTGGTACTGACCGTCCCGACTTGACTGACATGCATGTATTTAGACAATCATGATTATAACAGTAAGCTTTGCATGCTCTTTTAATTCCGAAAATTACTTATATGCAGGTAATTAATCTTTTAAAATTGTTCTGTTTAATTATGATAATTAAAGAATGAAAACAAACAATTCAAGCTAACAAAAGGCAAGCTACAGTGTATTTCTATATAAAAACATGGGACCAAAAAAAAAAATTGGTAAAAGCTAAAATATTTCTTATTCTATCTCAAATCAGTGTATTATGTCTACGCTATCACAAAATATCCTAAAATTGCTTGTATAAATTTCTGCAATTGAAATTCTGCACCCACCGTGTCCAATTCTGTTACTGTAAATACTTTAACATATCATAATATTCTTGTATATAGTAGGTTACCGTTTTTGTGCGGCATAACTTGGTATAAAATGCAGTTTTTTATTTATGTCTTCAACACTAATGAAATTTATTTATTTACACATCTTTCGTTTTTATTAGCTCACCTGTCACAAAGTGACAGGGTGAGCTTTTGTGATCGCTTTTCGTCCGGCGTTCGTCCGTCCATCGTCCGTCCGTAAACTTTTACTTTAAATGACATCTCCTCATAAACCACTAAGCCAATTTCATCCAAACTTCACAGGAATGTTTCTTTGGTGGTCATCTTTAAAAATTGTTCAAAGAATTTAATTCCATGCAGAACTCTGGTTGCCATGGCAACCGAAAGAAAAAACTTTAAATATCTTCTTTTAAAAAACCATAAGAGCTAGAGCTTAGATATTTGGCATGAAACATCTTCTAGTGAGTGTCTACCAAGTTTGTTCAAATAAAAGCCCTGGGGTCAAAATTGGCCCCGCCCCAGGGGGTCATTGATTTTCCCTATATGCATATAGTAAAAACTTAAAAAATCTTCTTTTAAAGAACCCAAAGAGCTAGAGCTAAGATATTTAGCATGAAACATGTTCTAATGCGTGTCTACCAAGTTTGTTCAAATAAAAGCCCTGGGGTCAAAATTGGCCCCGCCCGGGGGGGTCATTGATTTTCCCTATATGCATATAGTAAAAACTTAAAAAATCTTCTTTTAAAGAACTCAAAGAGCTATGGCTAAGATATTGAGCATCAAACATGTTCTAATAGGTGTCTACCAAGTTTGTTCAAATAAAAGCCCTGGGGTCAAAATTGGCCCCGCCCCAGGGGGTCATTGATTTTCCCTATATGCATATAGTAAAAACTTAAAAAATCTTCTTTTAAAGAACCCAAAGAGTTAGAGCTAAGATATTTAGCATGAAACATGTTCTAATGGGTGTCTACCAAGTTTGTTCAAATAAAAGCCTTGGGGTCAAAATTGGCCCCGCCCCGGGGGGTCATTGATTTTCCCTATATGCATATAGTAAAAACTTTAAAAAATCTTCTTTTAAAGAACTCAAAGAGCTATGGCTAAGATATTGAGCATCAAAAATGTTCCAATAGGTGTCTATCAAGTTTGTTCAAATAAAAGTTCAAACAAAATTGGCCCCGCCCCAGGGGTGTCATTGTTTTTAACTATATGTGTATAGTAAAAACTTAAAAAAAATCTTCTTTTAAAAAGCCCAATGAGCTAGAGCTTAGATGTTTAGCATGAAACATCTTCTTATGGGTGTCTACCAAGTATGTGCAAATAAAAGCCCTTGGGTTAAAATTGGCCCTGCAACGTTGTGGGGGGGTGGGGGGCCTATATACAGGTGAGCGACCTCAGGGCCATCATGGCCCTCTTGTTTATTTTCCCCGATTGATTACTGAAAACAATTGTGTTGTCAATGATAGTTTTGCTGTGATTGGCATACAGTCAAAGTCGTCTTATCACTGCTCTGATTTCAATTATTTGAACCCATCGATTTTTTATTCGGTGAAAATTTATAGTCCACGGTACTTCAAATAATCAGGGTTGGACTGTATCTTTTTCTGACGGATACATTGCCTTACTCTTCACTAATGTTGGGTTTGTGGTTTATCATTGGCCTTTACTATTTAATGTCAAACTTATATTGGTTCAACTGGAATGTCTGCAAAGGTCTGAAATCCTTTAATGATTAGTATCTTTGCAATAAGGGGTAATGTGGTCAGTGGTTCCACTTGAATACCTTGAATATAATGCATATGTCTGATGTCCTGCAATGAGTTTGTCTTAAAAATATATTTTAGATACTCATCCAGAAATGAAAGAAAGCATTATTTGACAATTTCCTTTTTTTTTATCTGGTTCTGAAATTTTTAACTTTGCTACATACATCTTTTTTTTCTGATAGTTTCAGTTGTGGAAATGGTGATCTTCTTTGAATCTTGTTGTACAAAGGTTAAGGTCTTTTTTGGCACCAAAAAGAGGTAAATACTTTTTCATTTGAACCTGATTAATTTGTAAACACTTTCAGTGAAGCCAACACTAAAGAGTAATGAAAGGAATTGAAAATCAAAGGGAGGTCACTAAGGTTTTTTGACATGACAGGAGTGAAAGTGTTTTTTACGACTTTTATACCGTTTTATCTATACAATATTTAACTTGTATAGGCAATCTTCAGACCATATGACTCTTGTTTTTTCAAAGATTCTAAAAATGATTAACATTTAATAAATGCTTTTTAATACTAATCAAAGAATTGTACAAATTAAGAATTCTCAATTTGATTTATATTCCTTTATTATCTATTTTCATATTTTTCCATTTTAATTGTCAAAGAATATTATTTTTTTGTAATGTAAATTTATTAAAGCATATTTAAGATCATACAAAATATTCTAAGATATCTAACAGCTTCAGAACAACATGTAAAAGCTTAAAACCTTAAAATATTTGTAAGATTTCATTTGGGAATTTATGTGAGAATGTTGTACTGAAAGAGTTTCTTGTTAAAACATTACTGATAAAGTTTATTGCTGAAAAATTTCTTTGTACCAAAATCTTTAATGTTTCTTCTCCTTTAAGGGTAGCTTGCAAATATTCTGAGCAGTTAAACAGACGAAAAGTTAATATATCCAGAATTTACAACAGACTAATAAGAAAAACCATCAGGTTGGTACTAAATGTTTTAAAAATATAGCATGACTTCTTTTTAGTCCCCTTCCAGTTTAACCAGAGGTAACTTTAGGTTTACCCTCCGTTTGTCTGTCTGTGTGTTAGTCCGTCCATCCACAAAACTGGATAAGTACTTGTAATATTTTTACCAAACTTGAAATATGAGTGAATGGCAGTAAGGAAGTAATTAATGCACATCTTTTTTTCTTCCTATATTGAAAAATTTGGTTGGTATGACAACAAAGAGACTAAATATAGCAAAAATAACAATACTTGTGATAACTCAAAAAGTACTGAAATATTCATGTGAAACTTGAAAAAAGGATAGATTGCAGTATGTAGATTACGTACAACATTTTAAGCTCTACTATAGGGAGTATATTGAGAGTTATCATACTCATCCAGTGTCGACGACCATGTCTAGATTTCTGATTTAAGTTTTATGCAATAATTTTCAATCTTATTCATTATAACTTCTTCATTTCTTAAAGGGACTCCACCGAGGTTGTTTTTTTTAATGAATGGAGCAAAAAAAAATTTAAGATTTTTGTATACCTAGATGTATGTCTAGACCAATAATTTGCATACTAAATTTCAGATAATATGCTTATTCTGTTTCCCAGAAAAAATCTTGTTTATTGTGCAAAGTTACACAAAAAGTTAAAACTGCTGCAACGCTTTTCTCTCAAATTGGCCAAAATTTGCATAAAAATTTATTATTAATTTTATACCATGTATATTTATATGTCATCAATTGCTTGGTTTCTTATTTAAGTGTACCAGTTGATTAAAAAAGAAAATCTTAGATTTATTGTTTTAGGCTATTGGACCTCAGTGGAGTTCCTTTAACTTGAAATAATATAATAATAATGATCATCAGTCATATCATATCATATGTAACAAGGGTCCTAACTCTAGCTCCCAAATTATCAGAATTACACCCCTTGAACTAAGAATTGTCATGAAGCATTATGTTGTTTTTTTGTTGTTGTTTCTTTACATAACTTCTTGGGGGCGTCCATGGCCAAGTGGTTAAGGTCATTGACTTCAAACCACTTGCCCCTCACCATTGTGGGTTCTAATCCGGACAGGAACTTTGGATTCTTTCATGTGAGGAAGCTATCCAGCTAGCTCACAGAACGTTGGTAGTTCTACTCAGGTGCCTGTTCGTGCCTGAAATAATGCAGGGAAGGGCACCTAAGGTCTTCCTTCATCAGTTAAGCTGGAACGTCGCCAAAAGACCTATACTGTGTCTGTGTGACGTAAAACCCAAGCAAACAAAAATAGATTCTTTTCTGTATTTTCTTCAAACTTCAAATCATCACCCACATTGTTCTTCAAGCAGAATGCCTCCTGACACATGCTTATTTTCATGATTATTTTTTTAATGTATTAAAAAGTAAAATATTGTCAAGTGAACAAAGAAAGTAATTTACACATTGTAAACAGCACTAAGTCTTGTTAAAATCTATGAAAATGATCAAAAATGTGTCAAAATATGAAATAAATAGCCCGAAATATTGCGTTAGTAACGACTAGAAGAAATATAGTGATAAATAATGCAAATTCAATCATTTATTGTATTTAACATGTATATCATTTCTTGAATTGTGAATAATTTTACTTCTGTTGAAATCTCCCTCATCATGATAATATGACAATTAAGGTTTATAAATTTAGTGTCCATATTTCAAGATAAACTGTAAATTTTCCTTATTTATTCAATAACTTTCTTCATGGATTTTCTTCAAATATAAAATATATGTTCATTATCAATACTTTTGTCTTATGTGATTAGATTTATAAGTATAGCGCCTGGGTTTCTATGACAATTTTCATTTTTAACTTTGAAGTTATTTGAAAATTGTAATATTTTTAGCTAGACTACTCGAAGAATAAGTACAGCTATCCTAGTCACCCGAGTGTGGGTGTCTGCAAAACCATTTGTGTTAAAATTTGCGTACCACCTCAAATATTTTCAAAGTCTAGCTATCTTTATTTCAAGAGTTGTCTCCTCTTACATTTAAGAATTTTGCTTATAAAAATGTTATATTTGGTACCATTACCAGGGATGTTTAAAGATTTAGCCTCAGAGTGTCTATTGGACCGTCTGTCCGTCCATTCCTAAAAACTATTTCCTGAGATTTATTTTATAAGCACTTAGAGAAAAGTTGAAACATTTATTATGAATATTCATCCTGAGAAATTTGGCTCTTTTGATTGTTGTATAAACATAATTTCTTTACTCTTACTTAAAGCAGGGAAACTTAACACATTACTATGATACAGATAAACTAAGAACTCTTTAAGATATAAGTTCATTTATGTCTTCCATAATGAATTCAGAATGTTGCTGAGGGTCTAACTGGTAGGGGCACTTACTTTTGTATTGCTTGCAATACTTTGATAATGTCTTGTTTCACTTTTTATTGATTTAATTTTTGAATTTATCATTTATTTTCCAGTATCTGACTTACTCAAAAATTTATTGTTTGAGGTGAATTCGCTTTAAAATCTCATATTAATTGTTGTCAATGGAACAGCTGTAAGTCATAAAAGTGCATATAGCATTAAAACAGTTTGGTTCATGTGCAACAGAACATTCCAACCTGCAGGCTGTGATGAGTAATGTTTTAAAAAAGTGTGAAATTAAATCTAATAAATATTTGTATTTTACAGGAATAGAATAGTCAACATCATGACTATTACTGTAGGTCTGCAGTTCTAGTGCTTTGAAGGAACGCTCAGTTACAGAAAAATTGTTTGAATAGCTAGTAAGTGTTTGAAGTATTGAAACAAATTAAGTTCATCACAGATATATATACAGGCATGCGAACAGCTAGTTCCTGTACAGAAGCAGTACCCGTATTTTTGTTTAAATGCTTGATTTTTACTTGCATTCTTAAAAAATTGATATCACATCAAGCAGATGTATGAATAAGACAAAATCTAATGGCCATTCTCAGTTAAAATTTACACCCCTATCAAAATTTGATAAAAAAATACAGATTCGAAAAAAACGCAAAACTGTTAGTCTTTATACAAACCTAATCTATCTGTTAAGTTCTGCTGAAATTATTTTCAACATTACGTAAGTAGTTTTTGTAAATCAGCGGTTTGAATAATTTATCCATTTTACCTTTTAAAATGCCAGAAATGTTTGTGACAAAGTACTGTTTGCTTTAAAAAAGGGCTGCTTATAATTACATTGATGATATCTAAATGGAATTTACTTTTAAATGTCACATGATACATAGATTTCTAATTGTACAATTGATATCATGAATTACTTGCTTAATTAAGCTTATATACTTTTTCAAAAACTCGTATACAAAAAGTGCAAATCAAGATATACTGCCTACTGTGTTTACAATTTGTCTTATTATTATAAGAACTACCATCCTATTCATGAATAAAAACCGTAGTATCACTGTTAGCAATTGTATGTATTGTATATTGCTTTATTATTTAGGTTATTGATCACCTTGCTAAAATTTAAGTACTATGTAAAACTAACTCACCTTTCAATCATAAACCATACAAAAAAAGAAGTCCACTTAATACCCCAAAACATACATATAGACATCCGACATTGATATTTAGTATAAAACCCATCATCTTTCTTGACTTGATAGTATACTGGTTCAAAATTTGGAGTAAAATAAAGTATCAAATAGTATTTAATGTAAAATAATAGTAAGTTAAGACATAGCAATACAGCATATCAGTCTAAAACAAATGAAACATTAACACCTCAATTTATAGATTAACATGTATCAAGAAGTAGAACAGCTTACCAGATCAAATACACTGCTGGTGCTAAGATTTTAATAATATATTTACTTTCTTTTTCAATTCAGATATGGTATATAAAATAACGAACCTTTCATTGTCAAATAAAAATTTTGATGCTAATATAGATACATTTATATTCAGATATATACAGTTCAGATATAGATGCTCGAATACAATTATATTCATTACCTAATGATAGTTATCTGTTCATTTCTCAAAAATGATATTAAATTGGAACTGTAGTAAAACAATTTATAAATGTTTTCTGAACTCTATAATTCAAATTCATTGAAATTCAGTCCAATGAAAACATATCAATATGGTTATAATACTAGATTCGAGTTTTATAACAAATAAACATTAACTTTTTACGAACAGAAACATTCAGCTAGTTTGAAATATTAGCTATATTACGCAAGCGTATCAATTATTAGGATCGTTGTCAATTTCACTAATGATACGTTTGTTATTTACTGCAACCACTTTTTTGCCGCAAACAAAGAATTGACCAATTCAATGTTGTCACCTCCCAATTATTTAAATGATCTCTGCAATTTCTTGTTGCTTTTGGCTTCATAACCTTTTAGGGTGTGTCCATGGGTTTGCAAGCCCTATCTTTTCTTCGCCTGCTGGCCATTGAAATGTCATGCAATTATTAGCTTTCATAAGATTAATCACAATTTCACCACATTGAAGAAGCAACATATTTTTTTCATGCTTGTAAAATATATTCCTGATATTTTTTTCCGAATCTTATTGTTAGCTCGACTATTTGAAGAATATGAGAGCTATTGTAGTCGCCCCGGCGTCTGCGTCAGTGTCCGCGTCGGCGTCGGTTAAAGTTTTTTGTAAAGTCAAATATCTCAATCATTACTTGAGATATTCAATTGAAACTTACAATACTTATTTATAGTGACAAGGTACATCAGATTGACAAGTTGGATAACTCTGCCTACAATATTGACAGAATTATGCCCCTTTTTAACTTAGAAATTTTGGTTAAAGTTTTTTGTAAAGTCAAATATCTCAATTATTGCTTGAGATATTCAATTGAAACTTACAATACTTATTTATAGGAACAATGTACATCAGATTGACAAGTTGGATAACTCTGCCTACAATATTGACAGAATTATGCCCCTTTTTAACTTAGAAATTTTGGTTAAAGTGTTTTGTAAAGTCAAATATCTCAATTATTGCTTGAGATACTCAATTGAAACTTACAATACTTATTTATAGTAACAAGGTACATCAGAATGACAAGTTGGATAACTCTGCCTACAATATTGACAGAATAATGCCCCTTTTTAACTTAGAAATTTTGGTTAAAGTTTTTTGTAAAGTCAAATATCTCAATTATTGCTTGAGATATTCAATTGAAACTTATAATACTTATTTATAGTAACAAGGTTCATCAGATTGACAAGTTGGATAACTCTGCCTACAATATTGACAGAATTATGCCCCTTTGGAACTTAGAAATTTTGGTTAAAGTTTTTTTGTAAAGTCAAAAATCTCAATTATTGCTTTAGATATTCAATTGAAATTTAAAATACTTTTTTATAGTAACAATGTACATCAGTTTGCAAAATTGCATAACTCTGCCTGCAATATTTGCAGAATTATTTGCCCCTTTGAAACTTAGAAATTTTGGTTAAAGGTCTTCAAAGATATTTACTTGAAACTTTACACATGCACTTAGGGTCATAATTGGAGGGTCATAATTGTATGTCACTGACCAAGTTCCATAACTCTATCTTGCATTAAGGCTGATTCATATCCCCTTTTCTACTTAGTCTCTTGGTTAATGTTTACTTGCAAGTTTTACATATCTCAATAACTATTAAAGATATTTATTTAAAACTTCACATATGCATTAAGGGTCATAATTGTAGGTCACTGACAAAGATCCATAATTCTATCTTGCATTTAGGCTGATTTTTCTCCCCTTTTTCAACTTAGAAATTCATGGTAAAGTTTTGCTTGTAAGCTGTTATCTCAATTACTACTGAAGGGTTTGTGCCTTTTTTGGGACAATTTTATGCATTCATAATAATAAAGCAGTGATTTACTTGATAAAACATCTTAATTAGAAGCCTTTGTACCTTTTCTGTCAAATTTATGTATTAATAGGTAATTAGTATTATTATACTCAATAAAACACCCTTTTGACATTACCTTCTGAATAGTCAAGCCAATACTCTCTCTAAGACCTATAACATGAATTTATAAAAAAAAATTAGCCCTTTTGTGATCTTAAAAAATTTAACATTATCAAGGCTCTTCAACTATCAAGCACTTAGAATAGTCGAGCGTGCTGTCCTACCGACAGCTCTTGTTTTATTTTTTTAATGAATTCTTGCATGTTTTCAGGTTTAGACTTTAGTATAATTGTCTGCACTAAAAGTAATTCAGCAGCTTCATTTGTCTAGCTGGAAAAAGACAGGTTTTTTTATAGAAAGGTTTGTGGCTCAAGACAACGAACCTTTCATTGAGTTAAATGTTTATTTTAATATGTTTCCATCATCATGATCATTTATCTTTAAAGAATTGTTTTAAATTCTCTTCATTTTTTTGAATTTATAATCACACAAATATAATGTTGATATGTTTTTTTTATATAAAACAAGCTTTTCAGGCAAGTACAAGGTTTATTCTTTCCATAAATTTTTTTCAACTGTTGTAGGTCTTATAAAAATCAAATTTTAATTTGATGTTCTTTTTCCGTATAAACAAGATATAATCAAAAGATTTTCCTTAAACAATATTATATACATTACAGGATTAGATATATTATTTTATTCTTATAAAACTATCATAGGAAAGGTTCATGACTAATGGTCACGAACCTTTCCTTGTTTGTAATCCTACATGGTATTGATAAACATCATAAAAAAAGTAAATTTGCTTATTTCATTTGAAAACAGCATCGTTTGTGATTCAGTTGGCAACAGAAAATTTTCTTGAAATTTAATTATCATGAAAAGTATCAAAATCACTTGCCAAAGGGTTTCGATGGAAATTCTCGATCATGTTTATAACATGCACTGCGAGTAATAGAAAGAATTTTACCATTATAGAAAGAATTTGAACATTTCAACCCAAATGACTTCATAATACATATGTTTGTTAACCGCAGCCGTTTACATAGTACAAGCATAATGTATGCGGCATCGAGTAAAATATATCATCACACAAACCTTTTCCCAGCATATTTCAGTTTCAATAATGTTGTTTATATAGGTACAAAATGTTTCATTTTTGGCATAATATACTAATTTTCACGCTCATTTACTGTCATGCCAGGGTGTAGATTTTCCAGGGTAAGCCTGGAAAAGAGGCTGGTAAACCCTGGAAAGCTATGGAAAAGCATGGAATTCCATGGAAATTCATGGAGAATGCAGTATTTTTTCCATGCTATATGGACTTTTTAGCTCACCTGTCACAAAGTGACAGGGTGAGCTTTTGTGATCGCTTTTCGTCCGGCGTCCGTCCAGCCGTCGTCCGTCCGTAAACTTTTGCTTTAAATGACATCTCCTCATAAACCACTGAGCCAATTTCATCCAAACTTCACAGGAATGTTCCTTTGGTGGTCACCTTTAAAAATTGTTCAAAGAATTTAATTCCATGCAGAACTCTGGTTGCCATGGCAACCGAAAGAAAAATCTTTAAATATCTTATTTTAAACAACCCTAAGAGCTAGAGCTTAGATATTTGGCATGAAACATCTCCTAGTGAATGTCTACCAAGTTTGTTCAAATAAAAGCCCTGGGGTCAAAATTGGCCCCGCCCCAGGGGGTCATTGATTTTCCCTATATGCATATAGTAAAAACTTAAAAAATCTTCTTTTAAAGAACCGTAAGAGCTAGAGCTTAGATATTTGGCATGAAACATCTTCTAGTGAATGTCTACCAAGTTTGTTCAAATAAAAGCCCTGGGGTCAAAATTGGCCCCGCCCCAGGGGGTCATTGATTTTCCCTATATGCATATAGTAAAAACTTAAAAAATCTTCTTTTAAAGAACCATAAGAGCTAGAGCTTAGATATTTGGCATGAAACATCTTCTAGTGAATGTCTACCAAGTTTGTTCAAATAAAAGCCCTGGGGTCAAAATTGACCCCGCCCCAGGGGGTCATAGATTTTCCCTATATGCATATAGTAAAAACTTAAAAAATCTTCTTTTAAAGAACCATAAGAGCTAGAGCTTAGATATTTGGCATGAAACATCTTCTAGTGAATGTCTACCAAGTTTGTTCAAATAAAAGCCCTGGGGTCAAAATTGACCCCGCCCCAGGGGGTCATAGATTTTCCCTATATGCATATAGTAAAAACTTAAAAAATCTTCTTTTAAAGAACCCAAAGAGCTAGAGCTAAGATATTTAGCATGAAACATCTTCTAATGAGTGTCTACCAAGTTTGTTCAAATAAAAGCCCTGGGGTCAAAATTGGCCCCACCCAGGGGGTCATTGATTTTCCCTATATGCATATAGTAAAAACTTAAAAAATCTTCTTTTAAAGAACTCAAAGAGCTAGAGCTAAGATATTTAGCATGAAACATGTTCTAATGGGTGTCTACCAAGTATGTTCAAATAAAAGCCCTGGGGTCAAAACTGGCCCCGCCCGGGGGGGGGGTCATTGATTTTCCTTATAAGTGTATAGCAAAAACTTAAAAATCTTCTTTGAAAAAACCCAAATAGCTAGAGTTTAGATATTAAGCATGAAACATCTTTAAGTAAATATCTACAAAGTTTGTTCAAATAAAAGCCCTGGGGTCAAAATTGGCCCCGCCCCAGGGGGTCATTGATTTTCCCTATATGCATATAGTAAAAACTTAAAAATCTTCTTTTAAAAAACCCAATGAGCTAGAACTTAGATGTTTAGCATGAAACATCTTCTTATGGGTGTCTACCAAGTCTGTTCAAATAAACAAATATAAACCCTTGGGTAAAAATTGGCCCGGGGGTGGGGAGGGGGGCTATATACAGGTGAGCGACCTCAGGGCCATCATGGCCCTCATGTTTGTCCAGCCATTTCCAGCATTGCTGGAATTAGGCTGGAAATTGGCTGGACATTTGTGGTAAAAGACTGGAAAACCATGGACTTTAATTCCATGTAGCATGGAAAGTGGAACTTAGATTTTTTTAATGCTGTAAATGTGTTAAACTTTCTCTAAGTATGCTGGAAAAAACTTGTAAAAATAACAACAAGAAATCTGACTTTATATATTCAGCTCAATATTGTAAATTTATGAAGAAAATATAAAATCATCATTTATTTTAATGCAAGTTACTGTAAATGATTTGAACTTTGACACTTTTAACATTTCGTGTAGTTATAAAAGGGTATCTCAGAAAAAATGTCTATGCTAAAGAAGTAAAAGAATTGATTGTCAGTCTATCCTTTCTACATTGTTTCAAGGCCCATTATGTCTTAGACATGCCTTTATTTTAATTTCTCAAAAGCTCTTTATTTTTGGCGTCCCATCACAGTTTCAAAAAAAGATACTCATTGGCCATTTACCTGAACTAGCTTTAGTTTGTGTTGCTTTTAGAAATAAGAAGTTATAGTGATTTTGTTCACATTTTGCTACCTTTATGACAAATAATTTCATATTCAGTCTAACATTTTGTAGGTAATAAACATCTAATATGCTCTAAAACCATTATTATATAATCAGTTCAATAAAAACAAAGTTAACGCTTTTCTTAAGCTTTCGATGTTTAGTCTTCTTCAGAAAAAATTGACGTTTATAACATAACAAATGACAAATGACGCAACGTACGTTTAAGTATACGCTAAACAGAACGTGACGTTAACCCGGGAATAAAAACTTTGTCAAATAAATACAGAATCTTTCATGAATATAAATACAGCAATATACAATAAATTACAAATTACAAATTATTATTTTTTTTTTCTAAAACCATTATTTAAATACTCATGCTTGCCCTTTCTAATGAGAGTAAAGTTTATTTAATTCTGAGGCATTATGTGCCTTAAACAAGACTAATTCTAAAGAATATGAATATAATAACTTCTATGGTGATATTTATTGTTATTTTTTTGTTTGCTTCCAGTGATACAGATAAGAGGAAAGAACTACTTGTACAGTGTTGAGTTTGAATTTTAGGAGCCTTGCTGACAGACCTTTAACAATGCCAGAACCAGATAGTTTCTTCCCAAAATAGCAACAGACTGATACCAGAGTGATAGAAATAGACGGATACAAGACTAAAGTAATTTTCTATCACATTCTCAACTTTTTGGTCCAATCCACCAATCTTTGGATAAGGACCTCGGACACAAAAGTTTGAATACACAGAATTGTAAAAGATATTTCGGTCTAACCTGATTGCTAAAAAACTAAAGATGTGTACAAATAGTATGCAATGATAAAATTTGTTGAGTTAGTTTATTTCATTTTATCGTGTGCAAATCAACTTACAGATATACAATGCTCAAATTTGATATTTTGAAATATTGATAATTGCTAAAGTCTCTTTGAAAATATAGAATAAATTTAAAATGTTTTGACAACAAAGTATGTATGGTATGTTTTAAATTATGACACAATATCATTTACAAAGCTGGTTTTTTTAAGAATACAACATTTAAATCTTTCAACAAATACTGATGGCCGGTTTCTGTTAGAAATAAAATCATGATTTTGGAATTACAATTGAACATAAATTTGCAGGACCTATAACTTTGGTATGAATTTATATTAAAGATGAAAATTCTTGAACCTAAAAATTCTTTTTTGATCAATATCCAAAGACTGGTAATGGACATGCTATTTTCTTTAAATGAAATATTCCTCTTTGATGATTTTTATATTATCCATGCTTGTGTTTAAAGAATAGTTGGGCACTGACAGCCTTTGATTAAATATAATTATACTATGCTCAAATTTGATTTAAAAAAATATTGATAATAATTGAGCACTGCACTGTGAGTCTCTTTATAAATATAATATAAACATGTTTTGACTACACACAAAGTGGATATGTTTTAAACCTTACCAAGTATAGATGGTCACAATATGAATATAAATTTAAGAGTCATTAAAAAAAACTGGAATTCTTTGTTTGAGAAAAGACCAATTTTACTTGACCAGTGTAATAGGGAACACAGCTTCCAGTACATAGCTTAATTATTCTTTTATACAAATTTCAGTTAGAATTCCATAGATTTAAATAAATTTCTATGATAAAAATATTTTACTCGAGAATGAACATAATATAACCTTTATGAAAATAATCCGGGTACTATTTCCAATCAAAGTGCTGCAGCACTGAATGCGAAGGACATGCAACCGGAGAGACATTAAGGCTTCTATTAGAAAAAAAAAACAAAACAAAAACAAAACACAAAATATATAACAGAGAAAATTTGTTCCATACAAGTTCGAGATTTGTAGAGCAATATATTTTGTGTCCCAAATTGATATAATTCAGATTTTCTACTTTCAAGCACTTAAATACAGAATAAAATTTATGCCTAAAAGCTCTGGTCAAACTTGTAAATCAGTGTCCTTATCGATTTATTCTAAGAAATGATATGTAAATAGAAAAAAAACTATCAACGAAATATTTCTAGAATAAATCCAGGCAAATAAACTTCAAACATAATACATTATACATTTGAGAATGCTATTCAGAATTGCTTCGTGTTATATCATAGTGGGCATACAGACAATAAAATATAAGTCATTTGTATTTTTATTTCTCTTGGATATGTCTCATTAAAAAAAAATTGGTTAAAATCATCAGCAATTAATAGTGTATTTCTTAGATTTTTTTTATTTACAAGGTAAAGATGTAGAGGCCAGAGCACATCGTTTTTATTTTAATTTAAATGTCACTTAAGCACTACAGTGTTTAGTTGTCCTTTTCAACTTCACACTAAATTCCATTTTCAACTTGTTTGCTTCTTACAATAGTATAGCATTTCTAAAAGTATTGCATTACAATCCGCTGGTTTATTAATTACATGTTTGATGTGTACTTCCTAATCGCCTGTCCAAAATTCAGAACAGGTGAAGCAGAATCTATTTTTAGAATAGCGAAGGTTAACTCATATCATGACCTAGTAAAATATGTAAACAAACCACAAGAATCGGAAGTAGAACTGATATTATAACTTCCTTACCATGAAAGACTACATGGCGGTAAAGTGTCTTACATGCATTTTCAAAAATAGATATTTATACTAGCCATTGTACTGTATCTAATATATTAATAACTGCTGAATATTCAGCTAAACCCGCGGTATGAGTCACGAAAATAGTTCTTCTTTTATTAATGCGCGAGTTATCCTAGAGTCACGAAAAACTTTTGATTTGTTAATAATAATGTTTTGTATAATGTAGAAATATTTATTTCCTACTAATAATGTCTTGGAACTCAGAGGTTACACCTTTATTGTAGTATAATTTGCTGTCCTACTTTTTCGACAGCGGTAAATCGTTTCAGCAGTAATTTGCATATTGCGCAATAATACTACGGGACTACAACGTTTTTATCAATAATATACGTTCATATTTTAACTTGGATAACTTAATTTGAAATTGAAAAGGCTAAATATGGAAGACATTAAGATATCCAGACAAAGTATGGGAGTTTTGAAGGATCAAATTCATGTACTATTTCTTGGGCTGTTAATTGGTTTAGGACACATTGCGCGATTGTAGCCAACGAAATCCCATGTGTAGATGACTTAGCTCTGAACGCGCCTGAGGGCGCGTCTGTCGCAAAAATATATATATATTACTGAAGATCTCCATTTCAAGGAAAATTACACAGATGATAAATTAGATTTTTTTTTCTGATGCATAGAATAATTAATATTATTTATTTAACTTCCATTATCAACTGTATTTGTACACTTCATCATTTTCTAAGCTTTGTTTAAAATCTATTTACTTGCTTAATTTGTGTGAAGGATATTAAAGGGACTCCACTGAGGTTTCTTAACATTAGGAAACAGGATTTTTTTTTTGAGATTATGAAGGTCTAGACCAGTAACTTGTTTGCAAAAGTTCAGATCATTTGCTCACTCCTTTTTTCCAGAATGATACTTCTTATTGTGAAAAATGACCCAAATTGAAAAGCGTTTCAACACTTTTCACTCAAACTGGGCTTAGAATGGCACAAAAATATGATTTTCAGTTTAATTTCAAGTATATTTCTTAATGATCTTTTGCAAATCTCTCTGTTTTAAGTATTCCAGCTGATGTATGTAAAAAATCTAATTTTATGTTTTTCTTTGTTTTTATACCTCAGTGGAGTTCCTTTAAATGGAACTCTGTATTCAGTGTGTAATAGATTTAAATAACAAAATACAAAAAAGAGCCAGTGTCAAAACTGCATGAATATGTAGGCCAGGCCTTTTAAGGATTGCTACAAGAAGGTACATGGTTTCTGCTTCAGCAGATTAAAGTTTTATTCTAGTTAGTTAACGTTGAACAATCTTGATATATTTGTATAATTGATTTACCCTGCTTTTACTGGGAGTGTATATTATTGAAAGTTTATAGGATTTCAGTATTAAAATACATAAACTGAGTTATTATAAGTATATAGAGCCTGGTCAGACTATGTGGATGTACAGGCAGGTCTGTCTATATATACTGGTGGCAGGGGCTGGTCAGATATGTTTGACTTTATACTTAATTTTTAGACAAATAATAAAGAGATTTAAGATTTAGATTATTAAACTAGCATTTCTTTTTGATATCAGTTTAATATTTTTCTTTCACAGGCAATATTTCTTGACTTTCAAACAGCTCAAAATCTTATTGAAGAATGCGCCATGGAGTACTGTTTGATTATCCTTTACCAGAAGAAGGTATGAACAAATTGTTTTTATCTATCTTTAAGTACCTTAACCTGCTGAATTTGTGTAAACTGGATTTGTCCTACTTTGAATTTGAGACTGTCAATATCAAAATTAAACTACCAACATTTATGATAGTGGCCAGACTGCATGGATGTGCAGACTGACAGTTGGCACTTACTGGTGGCAACTAGACAAATCATTTGCAGTTCTAGCATGTTAAAAGCTAAACTCGCCCGGAAGATGGGAATCACCTTTTAAAGTATAATTAGTATCAAGCCACTGTATTGCAACTAATTGTGATATACTTCAATTATATTGCCATATATTTTCATGTATATATATTGATATATCATTGCAATACATTTATAAGAGGTGTCTGTGGTCAAGTTGTTCAAGTGGTTCAAACCACTTGGCCCACACTTGCTGTGGATTTGAATCATGAAAGGGATTTTAATTCTTTCAATTGTGAGGAAGGTGCCCTGCTAGCTTAAAAAACATTGGTGGTTCTACTTTGGTGCTCGTTGAACATCAGACCTGCATGAAATAATTCATGGAAGGGTACGGTACCTGATGCCTTCCTTTACCATTAAAGCGTGGTACTACCATAAATGTCATTAAATCCAACTTATTTTAGTAATGATTGTTATTTATTTAAATTTTGTGCATTAGATGTCTTTGATCTTCATAAAAAATAACATATTTGAAAAAAATACCTTTGTAAATTATTGATTTTGATTAAAAAAAAATCTATAATTTTAAATCGTCATATCAAAGTCATTTTTTATTTTTTTGTCATCAAACTTTTGGAATATAAACATACATGTAATTATAATATCTGGGGAACCATGTCTCAGATTTTTTTCTATCTTTTCTCAAAAAAATATTGCGTAACGTCAAACAATTTATGCGACTTTTCTCACCATACATATTATGTAATTAAAGATAAGATGTACCTTAAATTAAACCAAATTATATGCATGTTTACAATATATGAATAGAGATCATCCCAGAAATGATATAGGGAGTGCTTGTTTTGATTGTTATTTTTCGTCAAATATTTTAAAGGCACATTAATCCACATGCAGAAATCTATTTTCCTTTTAAAAATCTGATTTATATTTTTTTTACAGATGTCAAAACATGCAAATTTTGGAAAGACAGCTCACTAAATTGTAGAGTGAGGATAGATGG